CTGACTTGGAGCAAGAGCAGACGAAGGCTAGATTTTTTGTGATAATCGATCAGCTATTGGGATTGCAAAGAATCCGGTTATGCATGGGAGAACGAAACACATCGAAATTAAGTTTCACTTCATAAGAGATTTGATTAAAAAAGGGCTCATCTCTTTGAAATTTTGCAGCAGTTTAGAGAACTTGGCTGATATTTTCACCAAATCATTGTCCTCACAGAAGCACGTCAAGTTCAGAAATATGCTCGGAGTATGCAACTATGAATCAAGGGGGAGTGTTGATTAAAGATTATTGATTCATAATTGACAGCTCATCATAGACTAAGTCCTTATTGGTTATTTTCATTATTCCTATTCTTTTGGTATTACTGTTAGTGGAATAAGTCATGGTTAGTGGAGAGGATTTTTAGGATCTCTAATTTGTTGAAGTTTATCTCCGTTTGTTTTTATGTTTAAGAGCTCTATAAATAGCTCTACAGATCAGTGAATAAAAATTAGTTCTTCTTCTCAGTTCTATATCTACTTTGAAGTCTTTGTTTTTTTTGTTCTCTGCATTCCAGTTCCAACATTCAACGGTCGACCGACCAACAATAATGCTTCATATTATTAGTCTACATGAGAATTAAATTCGTGTAATTAACATCTTATATTTAATTACATGTGTCATGAACTGTTAGTTTGAATAAAACGTGAGTGTGATTTTTTTTTGAGTGATTTATTTATGTAGATCATTGTTTGTACGTGCTGCATGCCGTCCACATGTTTCATTACTACTTCGTATTAAATAAGGTTGAAAAACCTGCTGGATCTAAGCATGTCAATTTAAAATCGGTTAATTCACACACGAGGAGATAACTCATATGGTTTAATAACATCTGTTGTAAGATCGATGTTATACTATTTGCTGTAACAACCAGATGTTAATAACATATGTTAGTTATGTAATTGGAAGAAATTATACTTACCTGTGATTATGAGACTCATGTCTGATCTATCTAATAGTCATCCACTAAATTACTTTATTTGATCCAAAGTCAATTAAAATTTGGGCGGTTTAATTGAATATGTTACCAAAGAATGAATCTTAGAGATTTCATAGTCTTTAACACGAATTCTAAGACCTAAAAGTCTACCCAACCAGGCAACCAAGGTAACAAAGTCTTCGTTCTCGATCCTTCAAGTGATGCTCAAGTCCCTCCTTCACAGACGGATATGAACTTGTTGAACCGCTTAAATCCTAGCAGTGATGCTTAATATGATGTTGGCCTTTTGTTACCTCTTTGTCATTATCAAAACCTAAAAGATTAGGGGCAAAAGACATTGCAAATATATATATTCATGATAGCACATTGTCCAACAGAGGGTAGGATATTTAATTATGAGTATTAATAAGTGACTTAAAATATTTGAACTCGGCTCGACCTGTTTTTTAAAATCGGTCAGTCGCCCCGTTTCAAAGATAGTCCGTAGAATTTTGGACCCGCCCGAACTCATTCCAAAGCGTGTGTTCAGTTTCAACCCGTGGTCAAGGACTTGTTTGTCATCGTGACTCTGTTCTCTAAGGGTGTGCATTATTCGGTCCCCACCCGGACTAACCCGAAACCCGACCAAAACCGGACCTGACTGGTCTGTACCGGTCCTTATTCGATCCGGTCTTCGGTCCTCACTATTTCCTTATTTGGGTTTCAATCTGATCCACCGGGTTTCGGTCCAAACCGGTGGACCGGCTACTTTTTATTTTAATATTTGTTTCTATATAGTTTTATAATATAGTTTTTAAGTTTTTTTCTTATACTTAAAATTAATTTAACTTTGATACTAAAAGTTTATCAAATGTTTTAATTTTATTATTTAATTTGATTTTTTAATATATACCAATTCAAAATAAGATACCAATTCTAATGATATTTAGATATTTTAATATGAAAAGTGTAAAAAAAGTAAACATTACCTTTATATTAGCGATCTAATGTATTTCAAATTTATATACCAATACTATAACTTAGGCTTGTACTTTATCAATAATAAAATTCTAATCAACAAAAATAAACAGTGTAAAGAATCTCATGAACAAAAATAGTAAAAAATGTATCCATTTTCCAAAATAAATCGAAAATACAAATAAATAATATTACAAAAAAGTAAAAACGCAGTAAGAAGTATTCCCTATGTAAAACAAAAATTACGAACAAATTTTATGTAATACGGATGGAGGATATATATTTTATTTGAAGTTTTTTAAAAAAAATTAAAAACACAATGCTTAGCGTATGTTACACATTAAAAATTAATTGTAGTAATATTTTATGCAATTGAATATTTTAAATTAAATAAATACATCAAATTTTTAAAAAATAAAAAATCACATTTATTCGGTCCGGTCTCGCACGGTCCAGGTTTTACCGATCTGGTGCCGGCCCGATCCGGGTTTTACTGGTCCGGTCCTAGATCGGCCCTTACCTTAATCGGGTCGGTTTTTAGTCCACAAAATGTCTCTTATTCGGTACTGGTCTGGCTAGTCCGAGCCAGTCCGGTCCAGGTTTGACACGATGAATATATAATACCCCATTGTTCTCTGGTCGCAAATTATAAGGTACATCCGGCTGTACCGTTTTTTCGGTACAGCTGGCAATTATATCGACGTAAGGGAAGGCGCACTGACGAAGAAGGGACCGGCCGATGCAGCATATATAGAAGTTGAATGCCGTGGAGGTTGCGTGGAGGAGGCCGCGATCGGTTGGTGGAGGCTGCGTGGAGGAGGCCGCGATCGATTGGTGGCGGCTGCGTGGAGGATGTGGGATGAAGGTGATGCGTGGGGAGTTGCAGAACCCTATCGAGATCCGCAAGGCTATGGTGGTGCAGTGGTGAGGATATATTTTGTGTCAAATTTGAAGAAAATAGGGAATAGGCAATACTATCTTATTAGAGAATGAGTATCGCTTTGTTTTAGAATGAATACTATGTTATTTGTAAATGAGTACTAAACAAATGTATGAAAATGAGTACTACATTATTTTAAAATGAGTACTATTTTATTTCAGAATGAGTATTACGTACTCGCTCCCTCCGTCCCTAAATAAACTTCCTTTTTTGACTTTTTGAGGATTTAAGGGAGGGATATTTTTGTGTTGACTTTCCAAAAATACCCTTGATGTGATGTGTAAAAGTAAGATGTGATATATAGATTATTAATAAAAAGGTATGATTTGATAGGTAGGGTATGAAAAAGTAAGGATAAAAGTGGTTTTTTAAGGGAAAAGAGAAATTTATTTAGGGACAAAGAAAAAACGAAAGGAGAAGTTTATTTAGGGACGGAGGGGTATTTAAAATGAACGTTTACATATATCTGAGAATGAGTACTACTTTACTTCAGAATAAGTATTACTCGGATGTGTCTAATTCTAGATACAATATATGCACTTGTTCTCTGGTCGGCAAACTTAATTTACCGGCGCGCGCATTAAATCTCAATCTGCCGAAATCATGTGCCCAACTGTCAAACAATAGTTGGTGCTACCAATTACGGGAGTTTGATTTTCCTTTTTCTTTGTTTTTGTCTTAATCGTCAATCGACCATTATGATTTTTCGATGAGTCTTATGATGTATTTATTGGCCACAAAAAAATTAGGCCTTTCCCATATGAATTGAAAGATGGAGAAAAACCAAAGTAGAACTAAAACATTGAAAATATACCAAAATAGGACTTCCATGTTTTTATTCTCGAAATAGAATTTACATTACCAAACATGGTCATATATATTACCAAAAAAGTATAGTAATTTGTACATGTACACTGTCACATTACCACAATGCAAAGTTACATTACCACAGTGCAAAATCCTATTCTAGGAAAAAAACATGAAAGTCCTATTTTGATACTTTTCTCTATGTTTTAGTCCTATTTAAGATGATTTCTATTCAAAGATTCTTTTCCCGAAATTTTAATTTTTTCGATCTATTGAAAAATAAACTAAATGCTGACACAAAATATTTCTTTATTCCTAATTAATTGGCCATAATAATTTTTGATGTAAATAAAAAATAAAATGAACATCTAACACATACCATGATTCAATTTTTGAGGTACATCAAAAGTTGAATAAAAATTGTACATACATCAATATATATACTAATATTCCAGTTTCAAATTACGACGTTTGACCAATATTATTTTTATTTTAACTTGTACTTTTCCGTCACAAATTAAATAAGATGTTTACTATTCACATGATCAAACTTCATTTATTTTCTTTTTTTATTTTCGTTAATTATTTGATAAAATAATATATCTATGTCACATTGTCACTACTAGTTTTTTTTAGAACTTTTGATGTCCTTTTTAAATACTCCCTCCTTCCCTAAAGATTATCACAATTTGACTTTTTTTGTCAAATTACGTCACCCTTTGACAATAAATTAAATATAGTTTAAAACAAGAGTAAATTCCCAAAATAGTCCTCTATAATAAGGGTTTTTCCCAATTTAGTCCTTTTTAAAGAGTAATGAACAATATAGTCCTCTATAATTAGGAGTATTCCTTAAGAAAGTCCTTTTTTAACTGCCGTTAAGTTTTCATTAAATAATTAGATGATTTCATTATTTTTGTATACGTGTCATCAATTGGTATCTTCCTTTGTCAATCTAGCCACCCTAATTAAAATTACCTCCATTCATTTTCATTTTCTCATTTTCCCTATTTTATGCACGAAGCAAATCTAGTCTTCTTTACTGCCTAATTAATAACTTTCTTACAAAAATAAGTTGGCATCTTCTTGTGCCTAATAACATTGAAGTTGTAAATAACTAAAAACCAAAAACATATGCTGGCATCTCTTGTGCCTAATAGCATTGCAGTTGTAAAAAAAAGCAAAACCCAAAAAAGTATATCTTGGCACCTGTGCCTATTGACATTCAGATTGCAAAGAAGCAAACAACCAAAAAATGCATTTATCTTCAGCATCTCCCCACTCGCTTCATGCACTACGTGGATGGCATGTCGTGCTCTTTTCTTCCTGCAATGTCGCATCTCTTTGAGAGTACATGTCTGCCATTTTAGTTGCATCTTCCCAGAATTCAAAATCTGTGTCACAGGCATTTTGGACAAGAGCTAAAGTTGGAACACTTTGGTTAACATTTAATGAAGCTTCTTCCACACAAACTACACTTTGAAGTGCCCCTTTTCTTCTGCGAAGTTGTTTCTTTTTCTTTTCTTTTGCTTGAGTCTATAAATACATTCACAATAAAACAAGGAAAAGAAGTTTCATGTTAAAACAAGCAGTATATAGAAAAAGCACCAACCATAACCAAAAAAAGTTTTTAGCGCCAACTTTAACTAAAAGAACTTTGATATAAATACACACACCTGTCTAGCCTTGGCTTGCGGATCTTCTGGACATGTTTTCTTGTTGTGTCCAACCACCTTGCACTTCGTACACCTTTTTTTCACTAACTTCGTATTCAACGTTTTACCATCCTTTGTTAGTTCATGGACACTCTTCTTTTTTGTTTTTTTTGGTCTTCCAACCTTTGCGGCTATGATAGGGGGGAATAATGGTTCTCTAATGTCGTCATCCCATTCACTTCTGCCCCTCAAAGGTTTGATGCACCCATTGTATATCTTCTTGTATGTGTCAAGAGAATAATACTCGTCCACAAAATCATTGACATCTCTCCTGCTACGGTCTTTTTGGAGCCAAATGGCACACACACCATGTTTACATGGTATTCCCGTTAATTGCCAACTGTTACACGTGCATGTTCGTTCAAATAAATCTACAACATGGCCTTCAAAATTTTCTCCTCTATAACCCCTGACCTCAAATAAGTGTTTCGCGCATTGTATAGCGTTATACCCCCCTGCCAATTTGGAATTAACGGCTAGCTTTGTCAATATTGTTGGACATAACCCACCCTTCCAATTTTCAGCATTTTCTCTCAACACAAAAAGCCTTTGCATAATCATTTCCCTGATTTTTTCCAAAGACTGAATAAGGCTTAGAGATCTAGCCTCTTTAAGCACTCTATTGTATGACCCTTTTGGGGTTGAATACCGGCAGATTAAGCTTTTCCATCAACTCTCCTTCAGACAAACTTTCATCGTCACTGCCAAGTACTTGTTGTTCCACCTGAGTGCTCACCTCCAGGGCATGTGAGACATGAGGCATGCTATCTTCTATCCCATGAAACTCCACTGTCATATCCACATTCGCATCAAACAACAAATCATCCTCATCGTAATCCAACTCTTCAAGGTCAACATCATCCTCTCCGTCGCTTCCAGTATCGTCTTCTGTGTATTCATCATCACCAATATCACCAGTATCATTGCCTCTATTAAATCCAGAATCACCATGTATCACCACCCAAAGTTCCAATTCACTTGATAATTCGTCAACATGAAACAACTCCCACGCATCACTATCTGTCAGTAGCTCTTTTAAAGTAGTGCCACTTTGAACATATATGTAAATGTCTTCCCAGTTCTTATACCCATATTCTTCTACATATGACTTTATCATCATCATGCCCCACTGTTCATAGAGGATGTGTGCTACTTTCACAAAACCACCAATATACCTTGATGAATCTCCATCTTTACCTAACTTTCCACCAAGCTTGAATATTACTTTTAATGTGCCTAATTTGCAATAATTAAACAAATACCAAACATTAGCAGTAAAAAAACATCAAAGGATCACTTACCTATACTTCCAATTGGAACTTTGTAGAAAACCAAAAAAATCAAAGGAATAGTAGCAATTCAATGAACCGTGTGCTCTTCAAAGGATTAGTACAATTTTTTCAATTAACTTTGTCATGAAAGAATCTAGATTCAAAGGAATGAACACTCAAAGGATTTTTAGAAATTTTTACTTCCATCAACTTCAATGTATAACCCTAGGAAATATCCACAAAGAATAAATGTCCCAAAATGCAAAACTTACCATGAATTGAACACATGCTATTTCAGCAAGATCGGAAGCTTCCCTGAGTCGTGCGCCGGAGATTGGAAGTTCCCCTCGGTCTTCTGTTCCTCGTTAATCGGGCGTCGGTGATTGAATTTCCCGCAGCGCTGTCAAACTTATTTCTCTTCCTGGCCATTCATTTTTTTTGTCAATTAAGAGGTGTAATAAAAAACACAAGTAATAATCCACATATATATTAAGTATATAACCTCTCATTTGACGGTCTCATTTGACGGCAGTTAAAAAAAGGACTTCCTTGAGGATACTCCTAAATATATAGGACTATATTGTTCATTACTCTTTAAAAAGGACTAAATTGGAAAAAACCCTTATTATAGAGGACTATTTTGGGAATTTACTCTTAAAACAATTAAAAATTATAAAAATTTATATTTCAAAACTACATTTTATAATTAACCTAATTTTACTCATTTTACATTATACGAAGTAACTGAATGTACTTTTTTATAATTTACAGTTAAAAAGTGCCATAGTTGACCAAAAAACTCAAAATGTGTCAAAATAGTGCCATAGTTGACCAAAATTTGATGTACTTTTTTTTTATATTTTACACCGTTTTTTATATAAATGATTTAAAATTAAACTTAGTCAAACATCGTAAACCGGAACATGAGATTTACATTGGGACAGGGGAGTATAAAGATTGCTTTGAAATAAATAAATAAAATTTATATATTTAAACTAGCTACTTCAAAAATCTATAAAGTAAGCGGTGACAAGACTATTCTCAAATGAGCACTGAAAATATTTAAAAATAGAATTAATACTCCCTCCGTCCCGAAATGGATACCGATGTCACTATTATGATCTCTCGATAACTCTTGTTTGTTTATATACTTTCATTGATAATATGATAAAATAAAATATTCTCTTCATCTCTTGTTTAATACTCCGGGTAATTTTATGTACTTTTAAACCATGTAATTTATACTTTTTATTTCTGATAGTGTAAATATAGCTGGGTGGGTTGACCGGGTTTGACCTGGACACACTCGACCCGTAGTAAAATACACACAACAAGAACACAAAGTATGACCTAGATTGAGTAAATCTCCTCAGTCCGAATTATATTTCTTACTCTATCTCAAGAGTATATTTTTAGTGAGATAAAGAATGGATCACTTCCTCTATCCACAATCATCATATTTATAGAGGAGGATTTGTGACCTTCCCTTGTTCATTCATGGACAAAATAGGAAGCTCGTAGGAAGGTCACTGTACATAATGAAATTACTATTCAATCATAGACTTGTCATGAATACAATCAAGAAGCAATGTTCAATCAATGACTATAAGATGGATATTCTCAATCCAATCAATCCTGCAAGATGACAAATATTCCTTTCACTGTATGCCTCGTGATGGATGAGCGGCGGGGTGGTCCCCCGATCTTTTGCGTGGTTCGCCATGCCTAAGAGACTGGACCAATGTTAGTCAAGTAAAGTGACACGGTCACCTTTCCTCAAAGGTTACCCGGTCATTTCTTGAGTTCAACCCGTCTCTTTGGTCTTCCGGAATATCCTTTCGTAACATTAGGTTACATTTTGGCTATTGCCCAAAATGTGACCGGTCACTTTTTAAGGAAAGTGACCGGTCAACTTTGGACCGGTCTCAATCGAAGAGTTGTCCTCATTTGGTGATTGAAGAAAGTGACCAGTCATATTTTGTCCTGTCACTTTCGGTTATTCGGACCGGGTATAAGGATATACCCATCAATTTCTATACTAACTTATAATTAAAATAATTTTAAAAATGATTAGATTTTGTACGTCGTTCGGACTGTGACATCCAACATGGGACCAATGGAGCATATACTACTCCGTATATAGTATGACCCAGCCTTTCTTTCCAATAGCTTCCCCCCATAATACCGAGTATTACCTACCATTTTCAATTCATTGATTAAGCATTTCAGCTGCAACTTCCCATCCCATCCCCATTGAATCTTCATCTTCCAGCCTTTATTTGGGGAACAAAAGAAAATGGCGCAAACCACCGCGAACCACACCCAGACCGTCACCGGTTGGGCGGCGCAGGAGGCTTCCGGCAAAACCACACCGTTCACCTTCAGACGGAGAGAGAATGGGCCAAAGGATGTGACTATAGAGATATTGTTCTGTGGAATGTGCCACACTGATCTCCACCACATCAACAATGATTGGGGCATCACTATGTACCCTGTTGTCCCTGGGTATGTATCCCTCTCATGATTTTCTCAGTCTTTTATTTCGAGCCTTACGCGTGAAATCTTATTTTTTTGAAAATAAAGAACTGGATAACGGTGAGATTGGGACGGATGACGTCTTGAACTTTTACATGTGAAACCGTAGCTTTTTTAAACTGGATAGCGGTGAGATTTGAACTGATAACGTCTTGAACTTTTTACTCGTGAAAGCTTAACTTTTTGTTAGCATTTCACATACTTCCTCTATTTTTTAAAACAATTCCTCTTTCAATTCTTTCGTTTTCTTCAAAACACTTCTACTTTTACAAAAAATGACTAATATATCCAGATAAAGTCGTTGCAATAAACTCTATCCATTTTGCATTGATATAATACGGAGTAAGTAATTTAAGTGATTTATCTCTCGTTTTATTCGATGCTAAGGATATAATTGGGAAGTCAAATCACAAAAAAAAATCTGCCAAAATCATAATAAGAACTGTTTTTACATACTTGTTAGCGGTGAGATTTTCAATAATATGTACTCCGCCCATTTAATTATTCTATTTATATACCAATTTTTTAATAAAATGAATTTAAAAAAACTTCATCTTGCCTCGTAATTTCCTCCGTAACTATTTTTAGTGCTATTGCCTCTATTACAATGTAGAATCTGTTCATACTATTCTCAACCTAATGACGTACATTTGAGGAGAGAGGGAGTATGCCCTCCTTTTGACCCCATTCCAATTTTATGGCTCTATTTTTTTTATTGGAAAAATGGTAGGCATGAAATAACAGGGATCATAACTAAAGTGGGAAGTGAAGTGAGGGATTTCAAGATTGGAGACAGAGTAGGGGTAGGGTGCTTGGCTGCAACCTGTTTGGAGTGTGAGTTTTGCAAAGGGTCCCAAGAGAACTATTGTGACCAAGTCCAGTTCACATACAATGGCATCTTCTGGGATGGCTCCATTACCTATGGTGGTTACTCCAACATGCTTGTTGCTGATCATAGGTATTATTAATGATTATAATAATAATAATAATAATAATAATAATAATAATAATAATAAGAAATATTATTATTATTATTATTATTATTTTATTATATGTGCACATTACCTTAAGTCACACCTAGAATCATATCATTTGGTATTGTTTTGTGTTCTACTCCTGCTTTTTTTTTTTACTTCAATGTATCAATAGTTCGAAAGGTAAAAAAGAATGGAGGGATTATTTCCATGGCTAAAGACCTCATCATTCAATTATTTTTCTCAATTTCTCACCAAACAACAAAGTGTTAGAATTCATTTCATTTTCTAATCACACCAAACTCTTATTTCTAATTTCACACCTATATTATTTCTTCTGGATTTCAGAACACATATCATATCAATGCTACAAATCTCACCAAACATGCTTTTAAGTGAAACCAAACAGCGATTTACTTCTTCACAACCTGTTGAGTCAGGGTGTGGAGCCCTAAAGACCAAGGGATATGCTGTAAAACCTAATAAGCTGTGGGTGTAGCTAGCTAAGTCCTTAGGTGGCTTTTGATATTTAGATATAGCTAGATCTCTACATTTTTTGGGGGACCAAGGAGCAGCTAAAAAAACTTAGGGCATATTCTCTTCAACTTATATGATTAGTTCTAATCTGATTGTAGTTATATTTAAAGATATTTTTTATCTGATTTTAATAAGCATAAGTAATAATTAAAAAGAATAATTAGAAGAGAACAAGCTCTTACTATAAAACAAAGACAACAAATACAAATGCTCTCTTCGTCCAAAATTAAAAATCCATTTTGATCGGGATTAAGGAAAATGTTAAAAAGTTAAAAATGTAAGGATGTAAAAGAAAGACTTATGTTGAGATGAACTAAAAAGAAACTCATCTTATTTATTTTGGGGCAAAGGGAGTAATTTAGAGGCCCCCCCCCCCCCCGTATAGGCGTAAGATATTCACATTTTTTGTCCCGAATGAACCCCGCCGAATTGAGCATGTGCATTGTCTGAGGCTGCCCAAGAACTACATGCCCGAGTCTGTTATGTAGCGGTTTTTAGAACATTTAGTCAGTCCGCCAATCCCCAGACCCTACTTGCGTGGGTCCCAACTGGTTTGTTGTTGTTGTCGTTAGTCAGTCCGCTAATGTTGGGTGTTACTCAAATGGAAGGTACGTGGTGCGCATCCCGGAGAATCTGGCAATGGACAGAGCGGCCCCACTGCTATGCGCCGGGATAACAGTGTTCTGTCCCATGAAGGACAACAACCTGTTGGAGACAAAGGGGAAGAGAATTGGGATAATAGGGCTTGGTGGGCTTGGCCATGTGGCTATCAAGTTTGGGAAAGCTCTTGGTCACCATGTCACTGTCATCAGCACCTCTCCCTCCAAAGAAAAGGAAGCTAAAGACCACTTGGGTGCAGATGACTTCATTCTTAGCACCAACCCTAAACAGATGCAGGTCAAGGATCATTTGAGTTAAATAGAAATGCAATCAACTTGAAATGTGTGTTATGCACCAAAATATTTTTGTTTTTTTTTTTTTGCCAAAGATTAATAGAGGAACATCCTAATATGATAACAGTCAAGCAAAAGGACTTTGGACTTCATTTTGGACACAGTGGCAGCAAACCACTCATTGGGAGCTTACCTAGAGCTGCTTAAAGTGAATGGAACACTTGTGGTGGTGGGTGCACCAGAAAAGCCAATGGATTTGCCTTCTTTCCCATTGATTTTTGGTAAGGGGTTAATTTTCTGCATGGTATTCAAAAGAATAAAAATTATTACTAAATATCAACTAAATAATAATAATAATAATAATAATAATAATAATAACAACAACAACTACATTCACTGACAGGGAAGAGAACAGTAAAGGGTAGCATGATCGGGAGTATGAAGGAGACACAAGAGATGATTGACTTCTGCGGGGAGCATAACATACTGTGCGATATAGAAATGGTGAGAACAGATGAAATAAATGAAGCCTTGGAGAGGCTTGCAGGGAATGATGTCAAGTACCGCTTTGTCATCGACATTGCAGGGAAAACACCAAAGCTCTAGGCTTTTTATCATTCTTTTAAAATGCCTTTTTTTCTTCCTTTTCTTGAAGTCCAGTGTATCTGAAAGCACCAATTCTAATTATTGTTTTACCTATTTGAGAAAACTTTCACCATACCTGTAATCCAGGATTCCTTAATTTCTCTAGAAAAAAAGAGTGTCGAGTCCGTCTTTAATACTGTAATAAGATAGTTTAGTCTCCATATTTCAAAATGGCACACTACACATCTTCTCCATCTTACTTTCTATGAAGCAATTGAAGTACTATGTACTAAGTGGTTCTTGGGGGAGCGGTTTATCCATATGTATCTTAGACTTGCTACCTTAGTTTATTGTAGTTAAGTGTGTGGGGATTGATCTATTTGTATATATGTTGAACTTGCTACATTAGTTTGTTGTACTTATGTGTGTTTGAGTCTTTTCTGTATCTCTTTCTTCTTCTTGTACTTCCTTTACTTGTTTTCCTCTTAGCTTTCTTTTGGTTGTTTCTACATGATCAAAGTTGGTGGCTACACTCACCATAGAATGGTTGTTTCAACATGATCCCAAAAGTTGCATTGAGTAACTGCTACTTCACTAATAAAAGAAGTGCAGACTGTTTAAAGAGCCATTTTGTTTTATTCCATCACACCCGAAAGCCAAGAAAAAGTTGGTATTTGACTCCAGATGATGCAAACAGCAGATGAATTGAACAAAATGAAAAAAAATAACAGAGACCATAAACTTTAAAAGTGGAGAATAAAAAAATTGGAAAACAACACCGCATAAGGAGTTTGACTTTCGTGATTTCTTAAAGAATGCATTATAAAAATGGTTTACATATAAAACATATTTACTAAACACTACTGACTTTTGGGCACTAGAGGGTTTAGGGCAGGATCTCGAGACAGGCACTGATGGCCAATCCAGAATCAAATCTGGAGTCGGGCAGATCCGAGGCCAAGATCAGTTTGCATATCATAAGATTGTAGTTGCATTCGTAGCGAAGGCAGGAGGAAGAAGATTGAAGAACACTTGAAAGAAGATAAGATTGGTGTAGGTGTGAGAAGGAAGAGGAGAGATGGGAGGAGGAAGAAGATAGGGGTAGATGGGAAGAGAAAGAAATGGCAAAGATGGGACTTGAAGGGTAAATATGAAAGTTAATCTAAAATTATTTGCAAAACAAGGAAATGGGAAGAAAATTGGTGGACAATCTAAAAAGGAAAGTGGGAAGAAAATTAATGGACGGAGGGAGTAAGTTTGATACTAACAAACAAACGTTCACCTAGAAGACCGTGAAAATCAAATTGGATAAACTCATTGGGACGAAGGGAGTAATATCTAAGATGAAGTTATATGCCTAAAACACAGTCTAGAACCCATGCATGCTCCCATTGTTTCTCAAGCTGTAAAATTAGTGTGCAAGAGTGGTTTTATTCATTATTCAGAAAATATTATATTCTCACTCCCAAAAATGCTATAACCAACACATCTGCTTTTATATTAAGCCAAAGAACACTATTTCATGAGTCAGACATAGTGCTTCCAAATATAAGAGAATGGCCATCTTATGATATTAGTGGTAGAATTTGCCTAAAATATATTAGCAGTAAGCATCTGAATCAAAGAAAGAATATATTAAAAGAGTGAAAAAAAAAGTGAGAAAAGTACCTGAGTTTGACCTTTCGGAGACAACGCAACCTCTTTGGCTCTTTTTACGCAGCGGTATAGAGTTAAGATATAAATCTTTTTGGGGACATTCTAAATTTGTAATCACAAAATTATGACACGTGTCACCAATGGTCCCCACAAGAACAAATCCCGTCCTTGAAATGGTGAAAGCGATTTGAGTCCCTCACTACAATTTCTCTCTCGGTTATGATTGACATGAATTTCGTAACATTGTGGCAGTCGCCACAAACACGTAAATTCTTGAAAATACATACTGAACTTTTGGGAGGGGTATTGAGAAGTCCATATACAATTGCCAACCTTTCACTGTGATTCGCAAGAATGTGCTCCTTCTCATCATCCTCCACATCTTGCAACACAAAACTGAAGTCTGGGGTATAACCAAGGCTCTTCATTTTAGCAGTTAACAATTCCAGCTCGTCATATATCTTTTTGTATTGCGGATGAGACTGGTTACCAGTATAGAAAACCTCAATCTTGTTATTTATTTCAACTGAGCTCCATCCTGGGGTCTTCCTTAATCCTCTATCTCTTGCTAATGATCTCACTTCATCCACCCTCTCCCATTTTCCGGAATTTGCATAAATATTTGACAGCAAAACATAGTATCCAACATCTTCTGAGTTGACCGAAAACAAGTTATCAGAAGCCAATTTGCCCAACTCAACATTACCATAAACTCTACAAGCACTGAGAAGAGCACCCCAAACTGAAGCATCTGGCTGCAAGGGCATTTTTGTAATGAAATTATATGCCATTTCCAGCTGCCCGGCCCTTGCAAATAAATCCACCATACACCCATAGTGCCTTATACTGGGCTTTATCCTAAATGTTTGCTGCATCAAATCGAAGTACTGTTTTCCCTCATCAACCAGACCTGAATGGCTACAGGATGCCAAAAGTGATAAGAATGTAACACTATCTGGTTTAACCCCATCATCCAGCATATTTCTAAATAGTTGAATAGATGCTAGACCGTGCCCATGAACTCCCTGACAGGATATCATGGAATTCCAAGGGACTGAACTCTCCCGGGGAATTTCATAAAATAAAGACATAGCATCGTTTAGTCTCCCACATTTTCCATAGAGGTCAATCAGGCAAGTACCCACAAAGACATCTAAGTGGAGACATACCTTGAATACCTGTCCGTGGCTCTTCATCCCTTCTCGCAACGATCCTAAATGGGCATAAGCTGGCAAAATGCTCACCCATGTTCCTTGATTGGGTGGTATTCCCTCGCACTCTCTCATCATATAATAGGCTTCAATAGCTTCACTTGCAAGGCCATTTTGTGCATAACCTGCAATGATAGTGTTCCACGAAATCACGTCCTTGCAAGGGATCTTATTGAAAACCTCAAGTGCATAATCAACATAACCCATTTTAGCATACATGTCCACTACTGTGTTCCCGAGCACCACATCTTCTAGTATCCAGCATCTTCGTAGGATGAAACCATGAATGGATGTGCTATACCGAAAATTTTTCGTTTGGGCAATACTAGAAGTTAAGCTCACTAATGATAATAAATCAGGCTGGAATCCGTTTAGCTGCATCACTGAAAAGCATTCAATTGCTTTATTTGGGTGATCATTTTGTTCATATGCAGCAACCATTGAGTTCCAAGTAATTAAATCTTTTGCCGCCATTTGATTAAAGATCTTCTCGGCATGCCCCAACTCGCCGAATTTGGCATACATGTTTATCAGCGCATTTGACACATATATTTCGCAATCTAACCCATGTTTTAGGGCATATGCATGAATTAGCATTCCACGCCGAATATCATTCTGTTGAACACAAATGGAAAGAACAGTTGCTAGAGTTATTCCATCCATCTTAACTCCAACCGATCTCATCTCTTGTAAGATACTCAATGCACCTACAGCATTTCCTTTTTGACAGAACCCAGAAATCGCAGCATTCCAACAGCCCATATCTCTGAACGGCATATCATTAAATATCATGATAGCACAGTCAAAAACTTCAAAACGACAGTACATATGCACCAAAGATGCAGCTATAAATACATCCCATTCTAGACCTAGTTTTGAAACCAAGCAGTGAATCTTTTTTCCATCACTTACGCTACGGCAAGTTTTTAAAATAGGAGGAAAAGTATAAAAGTCAGGACGAACATCATGGGATGACAACATTTGATATACACAGCGAAGCGCTTCACATAATCTGCAGTTACGAATATAAGCTGATATCAATGAATTCCAAGTGTATGTATTTTTCTTCTCAATCTGATCAAAACTACTACGAGCAAACGAAACATTACCCACACGGGCATAAGCATTTAGAATTCTAGTGCCAGTATGAACACTTTGAGCCTTTCCAAATGTGATGAGAAGGGCATGCATGCATTTCACCGAATGGAACTCAGTGCAAAAATGGAGTTTGGACACAATCTCTTCACTGTATAATTCAACACCACTCAATGAGATCGGAATGCAATTTCTACTCGTTAAGTAGGTTTGGTGATAGACCCAAAGGAGTGGCTTCTTTGAAATAAACCTATCTTTGCAGGCTGCCAACATCCTGCGGCAGAACAGTGAAGTAAGATATTTGGTGTATCATCAAAAATACCTAAATTTAATTGACACAGCAAATTAGTATGAACAAGAACAACCCCAATATTGGGGGAAAACAGAATACTCTCCCAAAAAATGCCTTATCAAGATGATTTCTCTGTGCCCATTATACCTAACTAATCGCGACTCTGTTCCAATATTTCATTTAATAATACGGAAAAGTTCCGTTGACATTGAATAATATGTCAATTGAACCATGGTGTTAATTATATTTCATTTTAAAAAACCGTTTCTCTCTTTTTATGTCTAGATGAAATAATTAACATGGGATATAAATATACTTTCCAGGAATCGAAATACTCTCCCAGCTAGACATGTTATTTTATATACTCACAAGTTTGGCGCTCCATGTCACAAGCCTAATGAGGGAAAAGATTCATGAAGCTAACACTCCCAGAAAACTCAAGTCCCCCCCCCCCAACCCCCACCCACCCCATCACACACTGATATCCCCTTCCATAAAAATGAAGCAATCACAAAAGAAACGGGATGGGTTCTACAAAAATGCAACCTTGCATTAAACTGTTTATGTGCACAAGTGTGATTATTCAACCTATTCTTGGGAATAAAGTAAATTAAACACATCAACCGTGACAGATCGATAGGAGAATGAGGGATTTAAAGAGCAGAAAGAAGAAGTTAACCTGGTAAATTATAAATGTCGGGCATCTGCTCGAGTTCGACTGCTCCAGCCCCGCAGGCCAGCGAGAGACGGTAAACCCAACTCAGATTGTCAGCCAAGGGGATTTTAAGAATTTAAGAAGCAATTGTCTCTTCAAAGAAAAGTGGTGAAAAAATGGGCAATGGGCAATGGTAGGCTTACCGGCTATGGCTTACACTTTGTATCATAGTTTTCACAATTGGACAGCTAACCGAACCGGTCAATATACTGGTCTACTGATCGAACCAGTGGTTCAAGTGGTTAAACCGGTAACTTTAACATATTTTAAAAATTATATAAATATAAATAAATAAATTTATAAATATATACTTCGTATATATATATACACACACACATACATATTAACATATAGACACACACACTCCCTCATTTATAAATACCAAAATAAAGTAATTTATAACATTTGACTAAAATTATATTAATATACTTGAGTTATTTTACTAAGTTAAAAAATAAAATTTAACTATTTAAAAAACAATATAAAAAATTTTATAAATGAAGAGTTAATTTTATTTTTTTCAAATAAGTTATCTAACATTAAAAAACACTCAAATGAAATATTTACATGATATGCGTTTTGTAATACTATCAATTATATTTTTAAAACTAAAAGGGAATCTTTACATAATCTTTTTTTAATTATGAAATATTATAAAAGATTAAGTGAACTTATAACAAAAGACATCATAGCTTGGATGGTTGGGAACTTAACTTCTTATTTAAGAGATCTTTAGTTCAAACCCCTATGTGGTATTCTTTTGGAAAAAATTTGCAAAAAAAAAAAAACTGGGCGGACCGGTTTCGCAAGCTGGTTCTTTCCGGTTCAAAGCAGATTACGGTCCAATGGGCTGGACCGGACCGGTTGGACCACCGGTTCACGGTCCGAACCGGCCAGTCCGGTCTGATTTTTAAAACTATGCTTTGTACACCCACTAAAAGAGAATTTTAAAGATAAAATATTTTGGGGGTATTTTCTTGTGCTGGTTCTTGCTTATAAGTCAAATATTCTTTTGTGGAAGTGTGCTCTATTGGACTAACCAGTCGGCCCCAATGTTTGAAAAGGCGGAACCCAAACCCGCCTCAAGGCGCGCAATGAAACTTTTTCCAAAAAATAACACCCTGGTGCGAATCCCGATTCACGCAATTAGCTATTTTACACAATTTGATTAAAGGCTTACGCCATGGGGCGTACGCATTGGTGCGCGCAATGAGGCATATGCAATTTAGCATGTAAAATTTAGGAAATCAAAGGTTAAAGTTGTCAATTATCCCAATTAAGTGTTTATATTTTAAAATTACCTGGTCGATGACCTTAATTGCAACCCTAATTGCTGAGATTTCCAAGCTGCGATTCATTTTTTGTGCGTCTTTGTTTTCCGTGTCCAGAGCAGGTACGATTTTTTTTCTTTCCGGATTTATAATCTACTATTAACTTATTATCTTGATAAATTTATTTAATTAGTTTTTTTGTTATCATTTTATGAAGTACACGAGCATTCAATTTTCCTTTTTTACGGTTGGAGTTTATAATTGGTGTTTTTTTGTCAAGTAGTTGGATAGTGATGCATTTTTTAACTGTTAATCTCTTTTTTTATTATAATTGTTGTGCTAATCTTTTGATCCTAATTTCAAGTCGTTAGGCACTGATGAACTTTTTTTCAATTCTTCAATTTAAGCTCGTCACTTTGAGTAGTATTATGTCTTATTCCATGTTAGACTTTGTTGTGTTTGTGATATATTACTTTGACAATATACTTTTTTAATGTTTTTGGATTACTTATGTTATATATTATGTTCTATCTTTAGTTTTAAATTGTTTTGTGGATATTTTTCAATTTAAAAATTGAGGCTTACGCCTCAACACGCCTCGAGGCTTACGCAATACGCCATGAAAAGAGAACGCCTCGAAACTGCAATACGCAATTTCGAACATTGGTCGGCCCCAGTGTTCATCGACAGCCACGGGGGGACCAACTTGTCCAATCGGCCGAGGGTGGTCATATGCTTTTGGAAAAATTCACAGAAAAAAAACTGGGCGGACCGGTTCGGCCGGATGGTTCTTACCGGTTCGGACCGGTTCGAAGAAGATTATGGTCCAACGGGCTGGACCAGACCAGTTGGACCACCGGTTCACGGCCCGAACAGACCGGTCCAGTCCGGTTTTTAAAACTATGCTTTGTACAATTGTACACCCACTAAAAGAGAATTTTAAAGATAAAATATTTTGGGGGTGTTTTCTTGTGCTGGTTCTTCCTTATAAGTCAAATATTTTTTCGTGGAAGTGTGCTCAATTCTTTCCTACTAGCTGGTGCAAGAGGTTACCTGCGTCCGTGTCAGTCTCTGGCTTAACTACAAAATAAGGCGATCCAGAGATCAGTGTCAACAACTAGATAAAGATGCGACATCAAGAGAGGGGCTAGCCATGGGAGCTTACCAAAAGGGCCGGGTGAAGATTCCTCACTGGGATATCCCTTAGCGGGTTTGGTTGATGTCGATGGTCATCCTGAACGAACTCAAACCGAACTCTACCAGGGATTCCTCAGTTACCAGCTTCTCGACCTCAATTAGGCCCCAGACAGAGTTTCTTGGTGTCTCCCAACAACTTTGTCGTTGGGACTGGCATCAGAATGCGACGAAAAGAAGGGCGACCAGAACCCGTGAAGGGGGATTCTAATCCGGTAGAAACAAAAATGGGTTTCCAGTAGTGGTTTGACCTCTTCTTGTGGCTCATGAAGAGTTTGCTAGATCGCTGAGAAAGAGAGGCATAGGAGGCCCAGTCTTCGTTTCCTTTGGACAGCTTGAAAAGGAAGATGAATTGTTCAAGAGAGGGAGTGACCCCGGCTGCTCGATACTTAAGCAGGTAGCCCGCCATGTATCTGAAAGAATTGGGGACTAATTGACAGGTCGGCCAAAAAAGAACGCCTGCATCTTCTTTAATTGGACTCTTTGAATTTGTAAATTGACCCCATTAATTCAATTCAGTTGCAATTCAGTCCTTCCACTTGAATTTAGGTCTAAAATCAACCAATTAACACCAATTAGTCCAAAATCATACATTTAAGAAACAATACACAATCAAGCCTCAAATTGTATTAAAATCCAAGTTAATAAGTCTATCAAAAGATAACAAAATTAGCTCAAATATACAACTTATCACTAAGCAGTCGTTTTTGGTTGCCGCAGTGACCCCGCGAGGAGGAGCCACTGTTAACAGCGAAGCAGACTCGATTAGACAAGAAGATTGGCCGGGGGGAAGATCTGTCCACCCCTGAGGGAGGGAATCGATAAGGGGGGCCGAAGGACCAAGATCAGAAGCCATTTCAAGTAAGAAGAGACCTAACCTGGATTCAGGTTGTGAAACAAAAGTGCGACTTAGACAAACAATGAGAGAAGGTGGAACACCATTGTGCGGCGGCGTGGCGGCTTTATCGCAATTGAAAGGAAGTGGAAGTGATGGGCAATGATGACAGTAGTGGGGATCGTGCTCAACCGTCAAATCGATGGAGATGAGCGCCTCTGACTCGGTTACCTGTGATTGACACGCGAGTGGCACGTGCGGGACTCTTAAGACTCCCCATCCTTTGAAGTGGCCCATCTCAAGGCATGAGGAGTGGCGGGCTTGTGATGGGCCGTTGGGCCAACCAAGCGGCCCAACCCAGAAGTCCTCTACGACTCATGGAGCCTAGCAAGGCCTACAGAGGATCTAGGCATGGAGACAAAAGACTAGGCCGAAAGCGGGCCGGCTCTGTGGTGCCCTTGACCGTGATGGGCACTCAACTAATGAAGGAGAGTTGTAGCTAGGGTATGAGAGGCGACGATTTTTACCAATCTATTGAGGATTTTATGCAATTGAAATACCTTATTTGTCAATTTCCTTAAATGTATTATGAGAACCCGATAAATAGGGGAGGGAGGACATGAACACCCTCAAGTTAAACCTAATCAATTGTCACCGCAAGTTATGTACACTCAAGCTCTAAATATTCAATAATAAATTTGACCTGATCTCCAACTCAGATATGTTGGTGGAATTCTTGTCCATTAATTTCTTATTTTAATTTTAATGATATGTTGATTTAAATACAAATTTGGTAAATTTTTATTGTATTTTATGTTTTTAGTTTAATTATTTTAATTAAAATAATTGTTAATATTAAAAATTGATAGGGAGAGGGGAAGGGAAGGGGAAGGGGAAGGGAAAACTAATGCAGACGTGACGATGGGCTCGCAGAGTGGGAAAAAGAAATAGGGGATAACACACCACAAAACCTTATAGGCGGCAAGGTGTGATTGTAAATATGGTTCGAGTAAAATACCAAAATAGAAATCTTAAATATTTTAAGACTAAAATAGGAGTTCACACGGTTATTGTTACACTGACACACTTACTATATTGACACATTGCAACTGTCACACTATCATTGCCACACTATCATACATCGTTGTCAGCCATCAAATTAGGTATTTTAATAATTTTTTTCCTCTTATACATGGAGACTTTTGCATGGGAAGAAGACTAAAGTAAAAGTAAAAGATTGAAAATATACCAAAATATGAGTTCTATTTTGTTATTCCCAAAATAGGAGTTAAAATTTATTTAAAGTGTCAGTCATGACCATGTACATTACAAAAAAGTATAATAAAATGTTCTTGTACAATGTCAAATTACCATAATGGGAACTTCTATTTAGAAAATAAAAATATGAAAATCTTATTTTGGTATTTTCTCTATGTTTTACTCCTATTTAAAGTTATTTCTTCCATCTTCATTTGATGGGCTCATAATCTTAATCTTTGAAGGACTCATCAACATTTCAAAATGTTAAAATATTACACGAGACCCATTAAATCAAGGTGAACCTAAGGTCCACTAGAGTATTTGCCATGAAAAAATTAGTTACTCCATTCGTTTAAAAAAATCATGTCCATTATTCACTTGTTAAATTTTGATCATTTTACCTATTCTTATTATTTATTTGATAAAATAAAGAGAAATTTACTTAAACAGGACTAAAACATAATGACTTTCCCAATATAGAACCATATGTTTTTATTTTCCAATGTAGGACTTTTGGTCATTATCAGTTAGTTATTATTCAAGTAAATGTCTATCATTTCTGGACA